TGTTCCCCACAAATAACATCACTTTTTCTTTACTAAAATACCACCATTTACTAAAATACCACTATTTCATGTAATATGCCTTTACGGATGAAAACCCATATACAACTTAAATCATGATATTTAAACCCAGAATATTATATATATATATATATATATATATATATATATATAGATATAGGAGCGTTCAAATAAAAACTATTTAATTTGTATAAACCGTGAAAACCTCATTCAACAAATCATAATTTTTCATTTTGTTTGTTTTTTTGTAATTATGAGAGGTTGATTAACCATTTTTATTGTGGAGGGTGTTAATCATGAATATTATCATCTTCATTAATTTAAATTTAGAGAAATACATAAAACAATTTTATTAAAATTTCATTAAATATTATATGAAACAATTTCATAACCATATATGAAACAAATTCATCAAAAAAAAAGTATTATATGAAACAATTTCACAAGATTAAACAATTTCATGAAAAAATTTCATAAAATTAAATAATGAGATCGATGTATGACGGTGGTTTGTACTGTTTGTACAAATGAGAGTAGTTTCATTTGACCACTCCTCTATATAGATATGTGTGTGTTTGTGTGCGCCCCTCAAATACACACTTTTATAACATAAAAATGAAGTCTAAACATTTATTTCATAAAAAGAGTAAAAACTCCGAAATCTCCCAAAAATATTTAAATTAAATCAAAATTCATAAATATTTGAAATATGAGTAAAAAAAATATTTAGGAGATTAAAATGCAATATTTTAACATGTACAAAAGTTTAAATGAAATTAAATATAGGTTTTTAAGAAAACCCTAAAACTAATTCAACAATGATGAGGATGCTTGATGTTGAATCACTAAATGCCAAAGTCTTAAATGCTTAAGAAGGAAATCAATGTATGTATTGAAAATGAGAGAGAGAATTGGCCAAGGATAAGTGAGAGAGAGAGAGAGAAATGTAGAGTGGAGGGGTTTATTAGGGGTGCGTTTGGTATGCAGACTACATGTGATAGGACGAGACAAAAAAAATAGTCCTATGTTTGGGATGTCATGGACAAAAAAAAAACATGGGACAAGGTGAGACTATTTTTAATTTTAGTGGGACAAATCTTGATATTTCTTGTTCCACCAAAAAAGGTGGAACAACATGGGACTAAAGTTAAAACGATAATATTTTTATTGATTTGTTGTCATTTTACAATCATTATATGATATAAAATAACATTGAACAACATTTAGGGGTAATATAGTCATTTTAATAGTTTTGTTTTGTCTTGTCCTAGTCGTACCAAACATAGGACAGACAATTAGTCATGTCATGTTCCGTCCCGTCCCGTCCTATCCCATCCATTCTGCGTACCAAACACCACCTAGGAGAAAATGGGTGTTGGTCAAAATTGACTTTTTCTAAAATTAACCCAAACGCACAACCAATCAAGGTATTAATTAAGAATTAGTCCAAGGTTATAAATCCACTTAAAATTCGGAATTTTACATATTTTTATATAAAATATATCAATATAATGTAATTTTGTGTGAACGAGCTTAACTAGGATCTTTGGAGATTTCAAGTTATAAATCATAGGTGGTTGAACTTGAGGAGTCATTAAGTTATATATCGTGGATGGTTGAGCTTGATGATTCATTAAATTATAGATCGTGTGGTTGAATTTGAGGAGTCATTAAGCTATAGATCATAGGTACAAACTATAGGTGGTTGAACTTGAGGATTCAACTTTTTGTATAAAAAGCAGTTATTTCAAAATTTGCATTTAAAAAATGGCTATAAAGTGAATTGATGTTGTTGGTTTGACTATTTTGGCCAATTTCCAGTAACTTTTTTAGATTGAATCACACGATCACATTGAATTTCGCATTGGGCAAGTTCTAACCACATTTGAGCTCAATGGTGGATCCAGAAACTTTTATAGTTGGGGGCACACTTAGGGGTGTAGAATTTTTTTAATTCGGATGAAAACGGTTTTGAGTTTTCCTTTTCGGCTTAAATGATTCAGTTAACTGAATAAAGATAACTTATTCAAGTAAGATTTTCAGTTGACTTTTTTTTTATTAATTCATCGAGGTGTATAATTTTTATATTTTATATTTCGAACGAAAATATCAGTATGTGCTGCAAATAGACCAATTAACAATCGGGATATCAAGTTGGGGGTCCATGCCTTGTTCTTGTTGGGTGCACAATATGAAAATTTTACTAAACAGATCTTTTTATAGTTTTTTTTTTTAAAATTGGTGGGTTTGTTGGGGGCCTAAAACCCCTACCACCATGCACTAGATCTGTCTCTGGTTAAGCTAGGTTTACAATATCATTATGTATCAAAAATATGCAAACTTGTAATTATAGTTTTAGAAGTAAATTAGTCAGCATAGAATGATTGTTAAGAGTTGTGGTTATCTCAAAAGGTTAATGATTGTGGGTTTCAATAATTTCAATGTTTGGCAAGACCTCCGGTTAAAGACAATATTAGACCAGTTGATGTGGTGCTACATAGCGACATAAGGGTTGTGGAGCATGTAAACTTGACCCAAGTATTTCCACTTACACTTAACTTTTAACTGAAAAAAATGTTTACGGGATGAACATATATAATGATTTCACTAGGATTACGAACGGCTTTAGGACAAACTATTTTTGTTGCTATTTTTTTTTCTTCTGGTTTTGTAGGTCTGCTAAGTCGAATAAATGTTTTTGAATGTTGTGTAGGCATCTATTACCAATACCAGACTAAGAAAGATGATTTTGATGGTCTAAACATGGACTATAATGTCGTTATCCTTACGACTTTGATGTTATATGTCAAGCTGATCTACTTGATGATGATGATGATGCTGCTGCTAAATGGCATTATTCATTCCATAAAATGTATGTTTATGTGCCATAAAACATATGTTTTTGTACCACAAGGCTTTAATTGAATGGATTGGTGCTAAGGGGTAGAGTTTTTCAAAACAATAATGAAGTTTAGTGTTGCTTTTAATGATTTGGAAGCTGAGGATATTGTCTTGGGCTTTGTTGTGATGGGTTTGGAGTAGGGGTGACAATGGGTCATGTTGGATTGGGTTTATGTTCAACCCATTTATGAAACAGGTTTAAAATCTCAACCCAACCCAATCCATTTAATTAAAATGGTTGAGATTTTTCAACCCAACTCAACCTGTTATTTAAATGGGTTGACAACGAGTTGACATGTTTACGATTTTTTTAACACAACCTATTAAATAAATGGGTTGAACCTGGATTAGCCCATTTAATTTTAGAAGTTTAAATAAAAAAAGTACTAGACTATTTAATTTCTTTGAATAAAACACAATACAACCACAAATACAAATAAATTGTTCAAAGTTTGAATAAAACATAACCACAACAAATATATTGTTCAAAATGAATTGGAAATTTTTAAATTCTAAGTAACTCGACTTTCACTTTCACCAATCCCAAGTTCACTCACAGTGTTACTTTCCTCTTGTTACCTAAATTTTAAATTCTAAGTAACTCAAATTTCACTAATGTTGGACGCCTGGACGTAGAAGGGAGACAATTAGACAAATGTTGGACGAAGAAAGAGCCGAGAGGAAGAAAACATTGCACGGAGAGAGAACCAATATCGAGAGATCGAGAGGGTGAGAGGCTGACAACAATCTTAAAGAGTTGCATTGGACTTTGGAAGCAATAATGAAGTAACAAACTAAAGAATTTTCCTAGGGTTTCATGATGATTAAGAGTAATGGAGATAATTGGAATTTGGACTTTCATCACGATTTTAACTAAAAATAAAACAAAATAAAAAAATAAAAAATAATAGATATAATATTAAAAATAAAATAAAATTATATAATATTTTAAATAGGTTGAAAACAAGTTTTAAACGGGTTGAAAACATGTCGAAAAGTTCAACCCAACCCAACCCAACCCAACCCAACCCAATGAGTTAGACATGTTAACCCATTTATTTAAATGGATTGGGAATCTCAACCCAACCTGCTAATTCTGGGTTGGGTTGGGTTGGATTAACGGGTTGAATCATTTTTTTTTGCCACTCTTAGTTTGGAGCATGGTTATTATTGGATACTATGCCTCTTCTTACTAGACTTAACATTTTAAGTCATTTATCCTTGATGAGGCCTATGTGGGTTTTTTTCGTTAAGATGCACATTAATTACCTGTATATAGGAAATGATTTAAGAGGTTTTTGAATTAGGTCTTTTTTTGTAGTTGACCAAAAACTTATCTGATCTTTTTACAAATTATTACCTACCATATCCTTCTGTTTTATACAAAAGCGTATGGTTATAAATTATTGCACTTTTTATTTGTTCAAATATAACTTTTTATGAAAATTCGTACTTACATTTTTATTATTGATTTACAAAATATTACATACGTTGTGTTGCAGCAGGCATATTACTAGTATAACATGGATATATGACATACTTTTGTGTTCTCTCATATTCAACGAAATCAGGTCTCCCTCCGTCGCCAAAACGTGAGTTTTGGATATGATATTTTATCCATGTTTTCATGTTGTTTCCATACCTACAATTTGATGTTTCATATGTGGGTCGCTGTTCATATTTGGTTGCTTTGGGTACTTGAGTTTTATTCATGTTTCCGGTATTTGAACAAGTTTTATTCATGGTTGTGTGAGTATTGCTTTTGTTTTCATATAACATGGATAATTGAGTTATCGAGTTTTCATCACGAAAATGCCGAGTTTTCAGAAGGATGTTGCTTTTATATTTAATACATTTCATTTTGGAAATTATATTTAAATAACATCCTTTCAGTTCTACCGTTTCATAATAATAATAACGAAAACTTCTTAAACTCATTAGGCGTTAAGTCTTTCTCTTTTTACTTATTGGTATGTGCATCAGGTCCTTGTTGGAAAATTATACTGGCAACACTATAATCTTATGTTCTGAATAAATATATGTTAAGGTTTGTCAAGAAAAAACAAATTTAGATCAATCTTGACGTGGAAATTAAATTATTATTTTCAATCATCAAAAGATAAACTTACAAACGAAAGAAACGATTCGATCAAATTTATTTCGACAACTCCAAAGACAACGTGTCGGCCAATGATGAAATGGTCGAAGGCGAGTAAGCCGTGGTGCCACCGAGGTACCATTTCTTTATCGTATCCACCACATTCCCGTTCTCGACTTTCATTGTCTTCGGCTCTTCTTTTCCTTCACTTGAGAATCCAATCTGTTCATGCCATCAAAACGATACGTAAAACCATCAAGACTTTACGACAAAAAAAGAGAAATCAAACAAATGTCTCCCTTCCATTTGCTTTCTAATCTATTTAATAATCAAGATTTCACAAGTGTCTATTTCACAGCTTGTAAAATGTAATTTTTATCTTAACAGTTTCATTAAGAGACAGTATCTGAATCGTTAAGAGGCGAATCTTGTTTGACAAAAGAAAAATTTGTCTCTTAATGATTCTAAAACTCTCTGAATGATTTTGTATCTTAGGTCTCCCTTAACCATTCAGCGCCATAATTTTATTGTAATAGCTTTTTTCTTGATATGAACTTTAAGTTGAGTGACCTACCTCGACAATGTTTGATGTTGTTGGAAAGTTAAACGTAATAATCGAATCCTTTTTGAAATATTTCGACTGAAAAAACTCGACAATTTTTTCGAGGGCGGCTTCCTCCTCCTCTTCATACTTGTCATCGGCTGCCAATCGGTCCCTCACCGAACTCTCGAGTTGCACCCCGTATTGCGATCCCTTAATCTCTTTGATCACCACAATTCTCAAGTATTTATCGACGGGTGCTACATAAACCCACAATCATTCGTAAAATAACGACCAAAATAGAAACAAGAGTATCGAAAATTTACTTCATAATTACCCGAAACGATAGAATCAAAGAACTCATCATCTTCGGCTAACTCGGTTCCCAATTTACCCTTCCACTTTTGCAAATGAGCCACGATCTCGGGGTCGACATAAACTCCGATGGCGGTGAACTTAATTTGCAAAAAATGTATCTCGATGTCGGTAATTCCTATTTCAACCCCATAAAAATCGGAAATCAATAGGCATACAAATTCAAGATTTTTTTTTGATTAACCTGGATATCCAACCCGCTATGCGAGCCGACTAATCTCAGGGCGACCACCTGCTTTGCAGATAACCCGGAGTCATCGCATTTGAACCTATGTGGCCATAAAGGGGATTTTTATTCCTCCTTGGATTTGAACCTGAGACCTCCTGGTACTTTTAACCTTTGGAGTCAAGCTCAAACCAATCAGACACCACCCTTGTGGTTCAAATTCAAAGATTTTCTTGAATCAATTAAATCTTGAATAAATACCATGTCCAAGCAAAGATAAAGGCTTGGTGGTTGTGATCTCTGAAGGAAAAGGGATATCATCCACCATCACCATTTCTGATCCCACTGCACAAAACAAAAATGCAAAACAATTCTCATAATTAATCAAAAAAATGCTCAAAAAACCCAAAAAACATCTCAACAGAGATGAAATTTATGGTAATTGTGGGTCTTTCGGCCGGTTTACGTGTACCGAGAACGACCGATGGCATGTGATTCTATATGGTCACAAGAGTTTTGACAGTGTATGGATTCGAACTCTGGAAAGAAGAGATTTCCATTGTATGACTCGAGTTTTAACCGGTACGCCACAATCCAAATGGTTAAACAGATACGATTACATAAAAAAAGAGAGGAAATTCTTACTATTTTGGTGTAGAGAAGAGTATGCAGTGGAAATGAAAATGGGAAAACCTAAGGGTTGGAAGGATGTCTAAATAAGCAACTGCAACTGCAACCACCAGTCATCAAAGAGATGGGTAGGTGGACTTGAAAAATAAATGGTAATAAAATATTTTAATTATTTAAAATAAACAAATATTATGTTATTTATTTTCAAATTCATGCAAAGATCATTTGTTACTTGATATGTATAATCAAAATAAATAGCTCAAATCATAATTAAAATCAGAAGATTAAAGAGTTATTGTCATCACTTACCTGGTAAGACTCTCAGTCCTTGCCTCGTTCTTAATGGGTAAGATATTTGGTCCTTACCATATCCATTCTGCAAAGTAATATAACTTGATAAGATTTTTGATCCTTACGATATTTCCATGTATTTTTCCTAAATAAAAATTAAATATAAGGTTGGATTATTTATCATCTTTCTAGAATTGTCTTACAAAAATTTATATAAAGACGGGTGTTTTTTTGTTTGTTTGTTCCTGTTTAGATGAATTCGGTTCTTCTTTTTTATTGGGTTTTATTATGCTTCTAAATAATTTGTTATGGCGTGTCATGACGTTAAGGTTTGAGTTTGCTGTCATGTTAATCATTGTGGTTCCATTCTAAGGCTTGGCTTTCATTATAACATGTAATGACGCGTTACGACGTGTTACAATATGTTATTTTAGAAGGTGTGAGAATTTTTTTAATATATAATTTGAGGGATAAATGATAATTATGTACGAGAATTAAGACTTAAATAAACATAAAAATGAAACTTAACAACTAGGCATTATTTGACCTCGTTAACACATCACACCTCATGCCATTTAGGCATTGTTTGACAAACATAAGCTAACTTATTTTTTGAGTACATATTTAAATACATATAAGTTAGCTTATAAAGTAGTTTGTTGATAAGCTACTTGGAGTTTTTATCACTTTTTCTAATTATACCCTTCATTGATATTAA